CCCCAAAACCCCAAAACCCCGCTATGCTCCAAATAAAGAAATCATTATAATCTATATAAAGAAAATCAATTAATTAATGGAGAAGCCTAGCAATAAATTAGATTTAACTTCTTCTGAAAGTTCAAATACTCCAGATAAGACTAAATCTTGCAACACTATTATTGTTCTAACCCGCATGGTGTATTTCATCCAAGCTGTACTTTTAGTGGCTCTAGTTATGGTTATTTTGCAAAGGATCAACTCTATTTATGTTGATCTCTCTCCATATCAGACAATCCAGACAATTTTAATGATAGCAGCTGCTATTCTCATTTTCCTTGACAACATCAAGCTATCATTTATAGAAAGGAACTTCTTATTCATGAAGCATTTTAAGGGCAAGGTGGTCTTTCACCTATTGCTAGGCACTCTTCTTGTCTCAAAATCTGCTGTGAGTGGCCTTTAGAGACTTGTGGGGATTTTTTATATATTATTTGCCGGACTTATAATTGTATTTATGGTCGCTGACGTTTCATCATACCTGCCCTCTGAAAAAGGTATCTATAAAAAAGGAAGTGATTATTTGGATTTGGAATCATATGAAGCTGGAGCAGAAGATAAAAATCCATAATGTGCTTACAATGAGGCGACTCCACTGAAGTAAGGTAGTAGTGAATGAACTTAAATTGTAGTAGTTTTTAAATTTGAAGGTATAAACAATCCTATGATTACGATATTAAGAGTAAGCAAATAATAATCAATTAATGGAAATACTGAGTCATTTCTTATTTTTCTTAATTAAATTAAAGATAAAATAAATATTAATTATTCACGATTAGCTAGAATCAAAAATATCCTAATTGTTTTTTCTTATGTTTCATCCATTAGAAGTTATTTTTCAAAATACTGAGCCTGATTCGAAGTGGATTTTATCCCATTTCTTCTCTGCTTTATCAAAGCTATAGATTTGGCCAATATTTCCGAGGAAATAGAATTTAGCATAAGAGTTTAGACTGTATCCAGGGTTTTCTGGCAAAATTTTATCAGGTAATTTTGGCCCATAAGAAATAAATCTGTCCTAAACATTAAGATAAAAAACCTCATCAATATCTTTACAACCTTCAATAGTCTCTCCTCCGAAAATCAAGATCTAATATACATTTAATTAAATCATTGCTTGCTTTTGATAAGGTTTCAGTAGTTCATATTCTCTAACAAAAATGCTTTTCCAAATCTCTCCCTCCTTGTTTAAAATTAGCTTTTATATAATACTTTTGTGGAAAACCCAGAGTGATTCCTCTTTTAATCCTGATTTAAAATAACAACAGGAGAGATTTTTTCCTCCCTCTAATAATTCTGGGCCCTCTGTCCATGTATCCTACATAAAATCATATTTTTCATATAGTTTTGATTGAGGTGGTGAATGATTTCCAAGCACATGAACATACCTCATTCCATCAGACAGTGAGGAATGTCTGTATCTAGGTTGAAGCAAATTGGCTCCTCTGCGAATATTTAATTCTACTCTTTAATACTTATTTATTTTCTTCTCAAAACTATACTTTGGAAGTTGAATTAGCCAAACATTTCGCCTGCTATCCCCATCACTTTAATCCAAATAATCCATTCCTCCTGTAACCACAACAGTTTACTATATTACAGCAAATGATGCATATGAGAGATCATTCAAATTAGGGTGATTTGCATAAAATTATGTCCTCATTGGTATATTATACACTGCCAGCTATCGTTAACAAAGTGAGATTAGCCTCTGCTCAAAGCAATTTAGCTCATAAAGCATTGTAGGGATAATTGTATTATAATGCCTCTTATTTATGGCCTATATTTTGATCTACTCAATTTCATCTAAAAATTAATAGACATTCTGGATGCACTACATCCTCAAAACTGGATGAGATTGTCTACTTCGATTCCTTAGGACATCTATAGTTTTTAATTGGTCGTCAGGCTATGTTGCTATAGTAATTTCTATCTATTGACTCTAATTTGATTCCATTAAAATAATTAAAATACAAGTTATAGTTTTACTTTTAATTATTACTATTTTTATTTTCAAACAATGAACTTAAACTTTGATTCAGAATAAGAACTAACATCAATTGATCACGTCAGTTAAGTGAATTCTCGTCAAGCCTATCTATTCACTTCTTAAAATCAAAATACAACTTTAATATTTGATAACGATAAACCTTATCTATGCATGAGTTCTCAAGCAAGTAATCATATTAAGTGAAAGTCATCAATTAATGATGAGTAATCACAGTCAAATATTACTAAGTTTGAACTTTCATAAAGAAAACTCGACTAAAAAATAAAAAATTAGGACAAGACATTAGAGATGGAATCTATAGTGCAGCTTCCAAAATAGATATCGCCAGCTCGATAAAATGCTAATAAATTTATAGTATCTCGGACTTAAAATAACTGAGATGTTAGGGCAAGATCATATTTAGTTACGACTTAAACATATTAAGAGAAGCAATTAGAAATAAGAAATCTAGCCTTGTTGAAAATAAAGAGATAGTAATAAAGCTAGCTCCGAGCAGATTCCCTTTTAATGATGGAATTTTAGAGACAAAAAGAACTAAAAGAGGGGAATGAATACGAGAAAAAATTTTATGATGAAATGATAAGAAAATAAAATAGAGTTTAGAAACTTAAGAATTTTGAGGACCAGTAAAAAAGAAATATATCTAAAAGTAGATAAATGAAAATTAAGTAGATATTTGATAATACGAAGAATCACTTAATTGGATATGATGACCAAGAAGATTTGATTTATACTATTAGAAGTCTTAGCAAAGAATAAAAGGAACACTAATACATCTAGGATAAGATCATGAGACTAAGATAATAGTAGTCAAAATTTAATTAGTCTAGGAATAAAGAGAGTGGTCTCCTGAAATAGGAAAACAGTTAGGGGGTAACTGAAAAAGAAAATTAAAGTATGCAGAGTTTAAATACTACTAATACTGGTTACTTTTAAAATAAATCTTAAAGCAATCAAGATTAAAAAGCCAATTTAAGACAGATTTGAGATCAACTTTATCAAACTTCTCAAGGTTTTATATATCAAAATTAAAATAGTTAAAATCAAATTGATTAAGTTGATGCTCACAAGCTAAGAATGATCAAGACTAGAGATTAATCAAACATGAGGAATAGAAATAATTAGAGATAAAGCAAAACATTTTATGGGAAAAGTATGTAAGAGGCATTATAAGTGAGTATTAGCCCTTCGAAACAAAGAAGAGCTGACATAAACTAAGATATTCAGGAGGTATTATATGTGAGTAAAGATAATAAATAGGAAAGAAGGCAAATGAAATCATAGTAAAATAAGATTATGAATTTAAAACCACTTTAATAAGTATCATAGAACTAATCACAGAATAAAGAACAATCAGATTAAAGATTTTCATCACAAAATATTTAAAAGTAATAAGATAAATCTATGAGTAGTACTAAATTTTCATCAATATAATAAAGATTTGTGAACAAATCATTTGAATTCGACAATCAAAAATTTGTAAAACATAATAAAAACTTATTGGCTCCTTCGTCATCTTCTTTCTATAATCCTTAATATAGTGATCTATGGAAAACTAAATTTGAAGAATAATCCTAGCTTACAATTCTGGACAGACCCAATGAAAGAAAGTAAAAAGAGCTATCTATATAGGCTCCAAAAATTAACACTCTTTACCCATTAATATCAAAGAGTAGTTAAGGAAATAAAGAATAGAGTTAGGAGAAGGTATTGACTAAGCAGATGATTAGATCAATAATTGAACGACAAAACAAAATAAATTTAAGAAATATTGCTGGATTTAATATTAATACTTATACTAAAAGTGGAGGAACTACTGAGAATCATGGATGTTATGAAACAAGTTCTTCCTTAAGAAAATTTTCAAAGCTTAGTGATTTTAGCTTTAATTTATATCTTTGATATCATAAATGCATATTTAAAATCTCTAAATTTACAAATTACTTCAAATATTATCTTTCGGGGTTTTGGGGTTTTGGGGTTTTGGGG